TGGAGCCTGGGCGTGGTGCTGTACACCATGCTGGTGGGCCGCTACCCCTTCCAGGATGTGGAGCCCGCCGCCCTCTTCAACAAGATCCGCCGGGGCGTCTTCAGCGTGCCCGAGTCGCTCTCGCCCCGTGCCAAGTGCCTGGTGCGCTGCGTGCTGCGCAAGAGCCCGGCCGAGAGGCTGGAGGCCTCCGAGATCCTCCTGCACCCCTGGCTCCGCTGCGGCGGCACGGCGTCCGCCCCCGCGCCCCTCGGCCCCACGGACAGGCACGGCGCCGACCAGGTGGTCCCGGACTTCGACAGGAGCGAAGATGCTGACTACTTATAATTAAGAGAAGGGGGGGAACCTCCCCCCCGAAACGACCCGACCGAGACTCGCCGGGAGACCAGGCTCTGCTCTGTGCCCTCATGGCCGGGGGGCGGGGGGAGGGGGGCTGCCAGAACCCACAGCGGCGAGGAGAGCAGACGAGAGTCGGGCACGGTCTACCACGAACTGACATTTTGCAGCGGCGTTGCGCTGGGCGGTGAACAAGGAAGGTTTTTGAAGATGTCATTGCAGCTGACGAGATCTCGGAGGGATGGGGACTCGGCCGGGTCTTTTTCCACGGCGGGGGGCCTGCCTGGGAGACGGGGGTGGGGTTAAGCGATTTCGGAGAAGCTGTGGGAACCGCCCTGTGCGGAGAACTGCGTGTGCGCGCAAAGCAAAGGGGGGCGTTTCAGAGGGCTTCTGGGCCGGCTGGAGAAAAACGCCATCCTCCTGATGTTCTGTTAAAAAATCATTTCTTGAGACCACTTTCTTGGTTGGATTTAGGTCAACAGGAGTGGCAGAGAGAAGCAAAAATCGGCTTCACTAGTCCGAGGACAAGGGAAGCCCTTCAGAAGGGGTTTTTGTTTTGAACCAGGGCCCCAATGACAGCCCACAGGCAGTGTGGATTTTAGACTGACGCGAAAGTCTGCATCTCCTCTGGCCCTTTCCTCACGGATGGAAAATCCCTGTGTGCATCTTGCCGTGACCTGTCTGTTCCCTCCGTGTTGCTACCGGTCTTTCCCTTGGCACAACAGCAAAGCTGCAGGGTGACGAGCACAGCAGTGCGAAAGACGAATAATCGGGGGGGCGTGATCTGGGAAGAGAACTGAAATCGGCTGTAGCATTACTATCTTCGGATACCTCTGAACTCCATACTGTCCTGGAATACTTGATGCTCAATGAGGTTGGTGCCTTGTTTTGTACTGTTGTTTACATATTGCTTTGCAAGCGGTAACCTGGGTCCAGGAATTCAGAAGTGCCTTTATCCACGAAAGGAAAGGAAGATTTTGTTTGGTTTTTTTTGGGGGGAAAAGAAGCTGTTTGTTCTGCTGTTATTAATCCAATCATGAGTTTCCATACCAAAGTCCTGCTCCAGCTCTGCCCTTCCTCAGGACACGGCCTGCAGGCCACACGTCCAGTCCAGCCCTGGTGGGGGCCGATGCCCCGCCTGTGTTTCAGGGGGGAGGACGGTGGGCGCTGGGCTTCGGGAGCAGGGTGCAGCCACACGGGCGCGAGGAGCCCGCTGTGCAGCTGTGGTGCCTGCGGAAGTCTTGTTTTGTGAATCTGTAAATAACGTTTTCTAATTTTGCAAAAAGACATGCACACTACGTTTTTTTTGGGGGGGGGGCGGAAGGGGAGTATTTGTTTATGCAAAATAAAAAGTGAATATATTTTTGTTGTTGCCAATAAAAATAAAAACTTGAAATTTGTTTTATTGTTTCTAAGCAAGTTGGCCTGACTTTTCCTACTTCTCTACTGTCTCTGGGCTGTATGGTTCGAAGCCCCTCTAATTAAATGGGCCTGATCTGCTACAGCACTAGGCCAACGGCCCGAGCCAGACGTACCTGGGTATCTCGTCCACATTGTTAAAATACGATGCATCAATTTTTATACAGTAGTTACAGAACTAGCATGAAAGTCATCTGAAAATGAAAGTGATATTTACTGTTGTTTTTTTCTACAGTCCATAAGCACAGCAGCTGAGGTCTAGAGTGATCAGTCTACTTGTTCCAGGTCTCATCTCTAGTTAATAGTCCATGTCGAGCTCTTCTTGGTTAATAGCCACCTATCAGAGTTATTGACACCTGCGTTACACATTATATAATTGTCCTTGTGTACTGTGGGTTACGTTTGTTCGTTTGCAGCCCCGGTACTGAAGTGTTTCTGAATTCCTCCCCTGCAGCAAGTTGTTTGTGACTTTTCCATTGCGTCTCCATCAAGAGAGGTGACTCAACTCTATAGCCCATAGCAGGGAGCCCCGCAGGTGCAGCGGCGCCTGCAGATCTCAGCGCAGGGCTCTCGGCCCCAGCGCCACGGGCAGGAGACAACCTTGCCAAAGAGCCGGCGGACGAAGCTGGGGGAGGCTTGCCCAGGGCGCCGCGGGTTGGCAGAAGGGAGCGGGCCGGGCAGGCGCTCTTCAGAACCGCGCGCCGGGAGTGCCTGGACCGCGGGCACGAGCTGCGGGGAGCAGTGTGAGGGGTGGGAGTGGCAGCGGGGAATACCGGCGCCGGCGGGACTCGAACCCGAGTTGCCGCGGAGACTCGCCGTTGGCCGTGGTCGGTGGAGATTCCCCCTGCCTCACGGGTGCTTACCACAGTGTTAGTCAATGAACTGAAGGAAAGGCAGCAGAAACTCTTATTCACCGGGTGTCGGGAGTCTCGGTTTCAGGCTGGCTGATGCAGTCTGGGTGCACGCTGGAGAGTAGGGGTTTCCCCTTTGGGGGAGGGATGGTACGTTTTCGGTGAAAGTGCTCCCCGCTCATCTCCGCTCCTCTGATTTGAGTGAGGCTGCATCGGGGCCCTTGGACCTCTTATTCCCTGGCTGGGTGAGGGGTCAGAGGACAGGGGTTGGCACTCGCTGTGGGGGGGGTCCACTCCTGAGTGAGCCGCTGGCTGTGGGTCAGCCTCAGTCAGCAATAACATAACATCATCACTTTATTAACCCTTTACAATTTCTTGCATTAGGAATTGTTTTTTCACAGACCCCAGCTTGCTCTCCATGAGACACACAGACAGGGAGAGAGAAGCTGGGGGTCAGAGCGCAGGGTCAGCCATTTATACGGCGCCCCTGGAGCAGTTGGGGTGAAGGGCCTTGCTCAGGAGCCCAACACAGTAGGATTCCTCTGCCGGCTGCGGGATTTGAACTGGCAACCTTCCAGCCACAGGCACAGATCCTGAGCCACAGAGCCACCGCTCCGCCCTGAGAAATGAGAACAATGAGCACTGCAGACACAGAGCGATCACAAGTGGCTGACCAACACCAGCTGATGGCCTACAGCCGGGTTGAGCTGATGACCCAGATACCGCAATAGGAGCTCATGCAGGGATGACGACTATCTTCTGGAAAAATGCTTGATCGTAGTCGTCACTCCTCCTGAAAGGCTCACGGATTTACGATCTCCTTGCTTTCTGGGCTATGGCCCTGCGATGGCAAGTGATGACCCACCTGCATTGGTAATGAATAAGACTGAAAATTTTATTTCTGCAAACAAAAAGCTTTCGTTTTACACACATTTATTTTTTTTCTAAAACAATATAGATGTGAGAAAAATGCATCAAACATAGAAGACGACAAAATAATCATGAGTTTATAAACACCTGTAATAAAGCTGTGCAAGAAGGGAGACAGCACTTCTGTCCGTGTTACATACACAGAACCAACAGTGTTAAAAAAACATAAAAGTGCACAGCTTGAGAAACGCATAAAATTTTTCCTCATTCAAAAAAAAAATCCAAGGTATAAAAAAACACAATTGTGAGAAATACACTCTTAGGTTTTCAACATGCATGTAGTTCTTGAGAACTGCACTTTGCAAATGAGGGCAAAGTGCACATACATATTCTGAACAGCCCAGTGCCGCTTACTGTGATACTGGGCCAGTCCAACCACAGCTCCAGCCTCCAGCCCCCTGTCACTCTATAAACTGAATCAAAAGTGTTTATTCTCACACTGCTTACATGTGGCTGAGATGAGCACAAACGTCTTCCAACTTAGAATCCAATGTCTTTGGGGTAACTCTAAATACCTGCTTCACGAATAAAATGTACACCAAAATGCCGCCTTCAGATTAAGAGGCTATAACAGACCACCGATCTACCGAGTGTTTCCTCCCAGACATGATGTCCGGACTGTTTCTTGATCACTCAAAACGGTCAAGATTCACATTCAGCAACAGACTGAGCGGAGGAATTCAGAAACTTGCACTCCTTGGATTAAAAAGAAAAAACGTCTTGTCACAGACCTGTTTATTTATTGCAAAGAATGTGCTGCAGCATTCTATCTGCCAGACAAGAAGGAACTCCTGTGCCACCTGAGTCCACATGGGGTCTCCAGACACCTGGAACCTTTTATGGTATGATAAACCACAAATTCATTCATCACAGCTGCCAACAAGCAGAAGGCAGCTGAAACAAAGAACCGGCACAGATTTCAGTAAACTCAATATTTAAAGATTTTTGTCAAAAGTCCCAGCTGACAGTAGTTTGTCACGGTAACGGCACACAACAACTGTGAACATGCAGCATAGGAGCCGAGCTGAATTTTTTAAAGTACAAAAACACAATGAAACTTTCCATCAGACACACAGAAATGGCTTTGTTGCGCACACCATGTGCGTCTTAACTAGCAAGACCCATTTTACAGAGTTGACATATGTATGAAGTTGACGGATATTTCAATCACAGCACAACTAGCTGTGTGACAGCAGGTTTAATAACAGACTGCATTTGGTTACACTATTACAGAATACAAGCAGCTCAGGCTTCCCAGAACTGCACAAAGCAAACATCGCATTTACACAGAGTCCTGGTTTCTTAAAACCACCACTTCCTATCCAGTGGGTCTCATCCTATTTTCAACATTAGGTCTAGCTATTTTCAATACCAAAACATTACAGACTGCTACCTACAATGTTAATGTAGGGACTGTTTCAATGTTTAGGATTTGTATATGACATTTACTATGTCCATTCTATACAATTAATGCAGCTCAGTAAATGGTCGCAGTTTTTTAGCCTATATAATTGTGGCACAATGCATAATCACCATCTATTGCAGAAAAGTGTCGAATGAGATTAATGCTTCCAAGACCGTGACCCCCTAAACCTGTAAATATGGGTACAGTGCTTCCATATGATTCTAGAAAGATCATGCATGCTGACATTAAAAAATGAACAGGTGCCGATGACAACCCCTGCTCAGAGCAAAGTGGGCTTGGCCAGCTCCATAATTCATTTAATCCCATACTATGGGAGTCGATGAAGAGCACATTCCCGTTTAAAACGTCGGGCTGGGGACCCATTTGTACAGCAGGACAGAGGAGCGACTGGACCCACAGGCCTCTAACTTGGGAGTCCTGAGCTCTTAATATTACTCCATACTACCGCAGACTTACATACATGCACAGAACAGCTTGCTGCATGAGGTGCTCTGCTAGGCACTGCACACTACATAAGGCCAAGATGCCCAATACTGCAATGCTTGCACCCACATGCTTTTTCTCCTTGGTATTGTGCCATAGAGCGACAATGTTCTCAAAATGTTAATACGGCTTTCTTGGATAGGCCAAGGCAGTGTACAGGCCATAGAGCAAAATGTACAAGTGCAGCGCGGGTCTCGCACTCAAGCCCTGCAGACCTGCGCTGTCTCACAGCTTTAACTCCCTACGAGATTAATCGGTCTGACAGCGCGATTCAAGGTTTTAAAACAATCTGATCACTTCTCTCCCCCCCCCCCCGAGAGTGGCAATGTGTCAATGCCCCTGTACAAGGTGTAAAAATATCCCGTCTCAATAAACCACCGAAAAGATCAAAGAAAAAAAAAAGAAAAGAGATTTCACGGGCAAAGACGGCCTTTCACTTCCTCTACAGCTGCAGGAGAAAAGAGCATGCTTACGCAAAGCAGTCTGGAACTTTGTAACCGGCACATCTTTTGAAATGCCAGACATGTTTTTCTTAGAAGTAAATCAGGTGAGAAACAATTGCACTGGCAATCTACAGAGCATGCCCAGTGCAAGAGTACAGGGCGCAACGCTTGGTTGTTCCTTTACTTCCTCAACTCTCTGAATTCCAAAATAGAGATTTAGCACTCCAGGGCTACACAATGTTGCAGTATCATAGGGAATTATTCTGGAATCTGATTAATTGAATCTAGGAATATAATATTCAAGACTACTCCTGCCATTTCAGCACAAAGCATTTCCTACAATCACAGCTTCTATTAAGCCCTGCTCATGTGTTTGAAAAGACAAACACAATACTGTACTATTCATATAGTAAGAAAATCAGGAGACGCTGCCTTCTCTTTAAACAAACAACGAAATGCAACTATGGTGACACCTAGTGTCTGAACTTGTGTGCACCACAAAGTCTTTTCTGCCTCTCTCATCTAAGCTGTAGACAAACAGTATCACAGCCTGTTATGTTATTAATAAAAAGATAACATTACAAGCTGTGACAAAAAAATATACTTGAATTTAGGATTTAAAATGTAACTAGAACACATGGGTTTTAATAAAAAGGACAGGAAAAAATGGAAAAATATCAACACTGGATAATACAAACATCAGGAAAACAGCAAAGACTCTCAAAGCCCCCCCTGAAATTACACTTCAGTCCAAAAAAAATATTTTAAACAAAATTTCCTGGGCTTTCGTTCCACTCCCACAGAAGGGAATATTTCTCTCAAGGGCTGTCAGAACACGCCTAGGCCTCACCTCTCCACAACATATCGGAGTTCTGCTGTTTTGAGCAAGACACTCAATTCATACATGTTCCTTCTCTATTCTTCCATATGCCTGGTTCTCCAATAGAACATAAGGAATACGAAATATGTTTTAAAAAACAAAAAAGTGAATTTTTAGACTAGTGCAAGAGATAAAACAGTAAAACAGAGACAAGACTGGGTTTTACCACGCTAGGCTCACACGCCCCTGTGTACAGAAGATAAGCTTCACTCTCTCCGAAACCAACAGTAAATGTGCTTGTGGAACAGATGGTAAAGGAAATGCTGGTGGCCTCCAGGTCTGGCCGCTGCTATCTCAGAGCTCTGCACGCCCGTCCAGAACAGCTGGCAATCGCTCCTACCAGCAGCTTCAAGCACACAGTGCGCCGTACCTGGAGAGAGAGAGAGAGGGAAACAGCGGCAGGTCAGCAGCACGTGGAGCCCAACACGCGCCACCCAGCCTGCAGCCGGCAGAGGGAGCAACGTTTCACACTCTGGTGCGTCTGTAAAACACACACTGCCGACCGACCAACGGTAGCCGGGTTTGGAGTCCTCGCCGGCGGGCCGCACGATCCAGAGTGACCCCTCTGAAAGGCTGCCCACCAGGGCCGCCAGCAGTGCAGGGATGAACCCCGACAAGTGCGCCCACCTCTCTTCGTCCATGTTCTCCTCTTCCTCGTAGCTGCCCTCCTCCAGCTCCAGGTCCAGGTCGTTGCCCAGGCCCGAGTCCCGCGGGGCCATGAAGACGCTGGACACAGGAGAAGAGGGAGGTCAGCCACAGGCCAGTGCTGCCTGACCTCAGGACCTTCCAGTCCACCCCTTTGCAGAACACTGTCACGCCTCGCCCCTCAGTTCTTTAACCGGTAATTAGAGAGGTGTAGGAGAGACCCCTGTGTCCTCTCCCACCCCAGCAAGCAGGGGCGTAACGGGGAACCACACCCAGAAACGACTGTTGGCCAGAGTTAATTATTTCACTCGCTTGTTTGCGTTGGCTATTTTATACTCCAGAGACGTGAGGGTCTTTTCTTTCCTTTTTGTATGCATGTAAAAGCTTCTCTTGCACTGCACATAAAGAGCAGACTACTGCTTCTCCACGCACCTGTGGCCAATGACTGGAGGGAATACCACAGATAAACAATACAGGGAGCAGGACAAGAAGGAGCACTTTTCCAGCCTTCTAGACTGGTGTCCTCAAGGACAGATAAACATCGGCGCAGCTCAGCAACCATCACACAGAGATTCAACTAATACGTAACAGATTTCTAGAACTGAACATTACTGGAATATAACTACCATAGATGCACGCAACCTCCTCCTGTCCAAGCGACACCCACGCACACAGTACAGCAACTGCTCCTCACCTGACTGAGCGGCAGGTGAAGAAGACGATCCTCTTCAGCCTCTTGTTGTAGAAGAAGTAGTTGAAGGACCACAGGTTGCCCTCCTCTCCATACGGGTCAGAGTCCAGGTCTGGGTTATAGCTGCAGAGTCACCAAGCGATTTGCGGACATGTTTGAAAAACTAACGAGCGTATAAGTATCGAGAAAAACATCTCTGTGTCTGATGCGTCTTAACGAAACCGGGGAGCACAGCAAACACATGGCAAACGGTTTCGCACTGCTGCCCAGCACGCAGTAAACAGTTAACTGGGAAACAATTACAACAGGGAGCAAAAGAACACAGACAAGGGGAGCGCAGAACATCTCAGCAGACTAGCGCAGATCCATGGAAGCTCTTCAAATGGGACAGAAGACTTTTTGGCGTCTGGATGAGACGCTGTTCTGCTGAGACCACAGCTGACGATGCCAAAGCCTGGTGCCCCTAATCTGTGTAGCTCATCTCCCCCATAAGATTATCTGATCAACACTTTAATTATCAGCTACCATACCTTGCAAGTGTGCCAAAAAAATATTTTGAAAGAACTGGCTAAATGAGGGTTATAATGTGAAATATTTATTGATCTTGGGAAAAAAGGAAGGCACCCCACACACACGCACACAGCGCCATCTACAGGGGAAGAGGTTTCATCAGGAGGGGCGCACCTGTAGATGTCGCACTCAGAGAGGCAGATCTCGTCGTCGATAGCCTGCCACAGCTGAGGCTGCAGGCGGCTGAACTCCCCTCCGGCCACGGACGACAAGCTGCTGTTCACAGCGTTCACCACCTGGGAGACAGAAGGCAGAGCTACTGCGTGTGCCGCACGTCCAACCTGCTCGCACACACGCACGCACGCACGCACACGCACGCACGCACGAGGTCCATGCCTTCCACACACCGTCAGTTCACAGCCCGTTTAAAAGGCATGTCCGATTTAAAAAAAATATTTCATCTCCCGCTTACTCGCGCGAAAAGAGAAAACTAAAACGATTTATGATTCCTGATTCATCCACGGGGCGACAGGGAGCGCTACAGGAGGTCATTCTTGCCGTCTGCCATAGGACTGTACAACGCATCCACCTTGCGTCTTGGCAGAGGCAACATCGACAGTGACCTGTTTCTGGACTAAACGCATCTACACATCTACTGCTACATCTGTTCTCTTTCTTTTTCTTTTTCTTTTTCCCCGTTTACAACCACTTTTGTGCAATATATGCCAGGGACCTGTGCAATACATTTATATTTATATCTATAGTTACATCTATATTTATATTCATATGTGTGATACGATTTTCTGTGTACTGTTCTGTTCTAGTTTGTTCTTGTGTGTCCGGACTGTGAGTAACTCTTGTATTGTATTGTATTGTATGTATTGTACTATTAGTATATAATTCGTTACACTGTGGCTGTGTTGTGTGTGTTAAGCTGCTGTTGCACTGCAATTTCCCTCACGGGATCAATAAAGTATCTATCTATCTATTACGGACGCGTTAACACAGACTGAGGCCCAGCTGCCCGCGAAGGCGGCGGCGCCCTCACCCAGGTGACGCTGGGCTCCCGGCTGAAGTCGTGGCTCTTTGCGCGGCTGAAGTCGTAGTCGGGGCGGAAGGAGGCGTTGAGCGTGGCGATCAGGTAGAAGAGCGTCTTCCGGCTGCACTTGTCCGACAGGGGGCCCTCGCCCTCGTCTCCGCTCTGACTGTGGCTCAGCCTGACGGGGAGGAACGGACAACAACGACGACAACGGAGCGGTCAGTGTCCGCTCCTGCCCGCCTCACGCTCCCCCAAGCGGTTCGCTCCTCCCAGCTCTCCCCCGGATCTCCGAGAAGAAGGAGTACACACAGTGATTTCTGCTACTCTACCAGACACTCAAGTAGGGACCTGCGTCAGCATGCGTAGGCTGCAAAGGAACAAGTAAAGGTTTACTGGGGTGCTGTCTGTGTGGAGTTTGCATGTTCCCCTCGCCTCCCCTGTGGTTGCCTCCCACAGTCCAAAGACGCACTGGCAGGCTAACTGGCTTCTGGGAAGACTGGCCCGGGTGTGAGTGGGTGTGTGTCAATAGGTGCCCTCCGATGGGCTGGTGTCCCATCCAGGGATGTACCCTGCCTTGCGCCCGATGCTTGCTGGGATAGGCCCCTGCTCCCCCATGTTACCAGTCCTGGACACAGCAGTTAGAAAATGGATGGACTGAGCTCAGGTGAAGTTCTTTGCTCAAGGGCACCACAGCGATTCCCTACCTCTCAGTTACGAGTCCGGAACCCTGAGCCCTGCTGCCCCCACCGGTGTCTTACTTGTTGGGGCTGACTCCTGAGGTCTGTGGGGGGGAGAGGGCCTCGAGCACGTGGGGCAGACCCTCCTGGCAGAACTGCTTGAACATCTGCTTGTCTTCCCCGGCCATTTTGCATGAGTAGCTCTCGATCCTGTGGAACAACAAGGGAGCAGCAGAGGAGATGTTGACACTTCCCCATCTCAGTGGTTTTGAACTCAACACTACCCAGTAACCCCAGGGGGGGAAAAAAAAAAACCCTGCCGGTTTATTCTCTAAAACCTCCAATCCAGCTGCGAACTTCAAACCAATCCAACTATTTTTTTTTTTTATTTGAACAGCGTTCTCTCCCATACTGCTCAAATCCGAAGTCCTAAGAAAGTTGCATCACTCAGAACTGAGAGCACTGTGAACATCCCAGAAGAGTTTCCCATGCAGAGATTCTGCAAGTTTTCTGGGATCTCCTTACTTCACAAGTCAGAGCGTAGGGGGACACACCCAGTCCTCCAGGACCAGAGTCCAACAGGTTTCCTTAAATCATTAACAGCGTTAAAACTGGTCTAGCGAAGCAAGCGATTAGATTAAGAGGTGAAATGAAATCCCACAGCGCTGGAGCTGTTCACTGAAGAAGGGGCTGCACTATTGCTGACCGCATCAGGAGCACTCAGACTCGTTAGTGATCCCCGTTACACAGTGCAACCAGTTGTTTAATTAACTGCATAAGCGCAGTACCTTTAACTTGTCTCCGAGGTGCTTTAGAAGGAACTGTACCTCTAATGAAGAGTTTAAAGTGAGCAACTGCACAAGACCTGAGGGAACATGCTCTATACAGGCCTGTCTGACTAAGATAAACCGGGTCAATTGTTCAATTAGAGGAAACTAGAGCAGACACCTGCTGCAGTTTCTCCATCTCTGATAGAGAATAGGCTAGCAGACACCGAGCCCGACTGGAAGTGACCCACCAGCAGGGGGCATTATGGACAAGGGGCTTCGCTCCAGCCCGCCTTCATGAGATAATCAGAGCCTTCATTGATTTGAAGAAGTTGCTTCATTGGAATATTTGCATTTTGTTTCTTGGCCAAAGTTTGGGATTTTATTTCACTTACAAAACACAACAGTTAAAGCCCCAACACGGTGTCAGAGTCGGGAACAAACAGATCACATTCATTCTTATTGTTAAAAAAAGTCAATGCAGGGTTTGATGATGTCACTGAGGGTGTGTGGGTCACCAGGACCAGGATTGGGAACCAGTGGGCTAGGATGAGTAAATGAGCAGTCTGACACCCATCACAGACAGATTCCTGGTGCACAGCACGAGGCCTTTGAGCAAAAGCACTCTCTCCCCTCTCTCCGTCCTCACAACCGAGCTCTTGATTAATTAGCTGCACTAATTAGGTGCTGGGCTGCACGGGGCTTTTACCCACTTAACCAAGGCTCCAGAAATTAAAGACCCAGGAGAGGGTGAACGAATTCACGATGCATAGGAGCCTGACCCGTTTCAGGTTGTACAAACCACAGCTCACAGGGCTGGTCTCTCGGGCTGCGAGATGACAGATGCACACAGGCAGGGAGCTGCGGGGAGCTGCGGGGAGCACAGACCTAAGAAAAAACCGCGATGCTTTTCTTTTTCCTGCTGCGATAGGAGCACTGGAGCCAAGAACAGGCCAAACTGCTCTGCAGTGGGACTTAACTGTTTCCCTCAAGTATGGTAGACTCCAGCCCTCGGGCGACTTTTCCGTTACTTGCCAGACAACTTTATCTTAGATTGTAGACGGATTACCGATTAACTCGGGAGAAGCGATAACTTCAACCGAGTTATAAGAGTGCATGAATGCAGTGCTAGTAAAAACACTTAAAAAAACAAACATGTAGTGTTTTTTTTTTTGCTGGCGTCCTAAACACAGGGCTACGGCAATAAATATCGCTCAGTTTGTAACAGCCTGCTACCTCAACCCGTCACAGGCTATCAAGAAGGTTCAAGAGCTCAGCTGAAGATCGAGAAGAGGTAAAGGTCTTCCCGTCACCCACGCAAAAAAAAAACTCGCCGTCCCTGCGTGTCGCGTATCGGAGAGGTTTGCGACTGTAAAACTCACCGTCCGATGATCTGACAGTCCCCAGTCTCTATCGTGAGCTGAGTGTTCATGGCTTCGAAGCTCGAGTTTTCCAGGAGTTTCATCTTATCGTCAATTCGGCAAAAGCAATGTTTACATCTAAAGAAGTACCGCAGTTCAGATCTTTTAAAACAAGAATTAGTTCATTCGCATCGTCTCCTAACCTGTGCTCGACCAATCATGTTCATTTTTTTAAGCGCCTTGGGGGGGACAAAAATACAAAGTGTGGATCCAAATTTTATCTTGCGTTGTTATTGTTTTAACCTAACCCTCTTCGATGTTTCGGTCTCCTCAACTCTCGACGACACGAAACGCAGCGCTGCAACTTCTGGGCCTACCCCGTCCCCTAAAGCCGCCTGCTCAAGTTAAAGCTCGCACCGAGTTCGAAAGCGCTCTCGCCGGGTCGGCTCCCGCTCAGCAGCCGCTCTCAATTCAAAAGCAAAAAATGTATGTAAGGCTAGCAGCCTGCGGTAAAGAAACAAAAGAGACAAAATACCAGTTTACGGACGCGGAAACGATCTCTGTCGAAGGCTTAAGACACTTCTGTGTCTAATAAAAATGTCTTCCTTTTTACTGTGAAATTTCCAATACCTGCCATTGAATAAACTGAAATTTAACGCAAAATTACACATCCCAGCTTTTTGAACGGGATTCAAAGGGAAATCCCAGGCTTACGAAAGCCCTCGCTGCAACCACTGACTTGCTGCGAAAAACCTTCTGATTTTATTTTTAATGTCTTTCACCGTTTAGACAGTCCGACCTAATCTGACGTACTTCCAAACAACCTCTCGCTGTTCGGATAATTTCCTTTTTTCTTCGCTTAAACTACCCGCAGTCCTGTCGTCCACCTCCGGGTGTCGCTTCTGGGTAATGTCTAAATCTGTCAAATTAAATTCTAAACATTTCTGTATTCATGAAAAGTGGGTGTCCGCTAAATAACTTCTCAGTTTATACAGAATATAAATAGTTCTGAATATTATCTTAACATCGTAATTGGCTGGACGTGATCCAGTGTTGGTTTACTCGCCCAACTTAATGTAGTGAGTGAATTGCAACTCTGAATTACACGTATTAAAAGTACAGCTCATTCTATGAAGTAAAAAAATATTATTTGGGGGGTTGCTGTTTAGGTTTAGGCTCTATATGATTATTGGATAAGTCCAGGTCCATTCTCAAGGACACCAGTCATCACAGTTGCAAACTGTTTTCTCTCCTACCGTCCGGTAATCGGTATCCAAGCATTCGGTCAAAGACTAACGGATTACGGAACAGCTTCTACCTACAGGCAATAAGGCAGCTAAATAGCCAAGCTGCAGCTCCTTCAACAAATCACCCGTAATGGCTACACGGACGTACATTTTTCACTGTATTCGGCATACTGCACTACCTGGACATAATGTATTGCATACACCCTGGACGACACATCGCAGCTCTATTTATGTTGAGCTCTGTCTTGGGTTTATTTAATTCAATTTTCATTGCACGATGTGCTCGCAGAAAAGACATTTCATTGCCTGGAACTACTGCTGTACGCTGTATTGTTGTGCCTTTGATAAATCAGCTTTGATTGATTGATTGAAGGGAACTGTTTTTAGGGACGAAAACTGTATATAGGACTCTTCAGCGCTGCAGATAACTGGATCTGATAATCGCACCTCAGCCGACCTTTGCTCGGGTGCCTCGAGTTCACTGTGTCCGTGTTTCTTGTGTGTCACCCCACACGCGATGGTGGAGAGACGTAGTCACACTGGGTGCTTTTTAAGTGGTGCCTCAAAACCTGTACCATCAGATTTTTAATTTAATTTTATTGTGATGTTTTTTTAATGCCCTGGGTAGCTTTGAGAACATTGCTTTTAAAGGCACTAGGTAAAATAAAGTTGTTTAATATTTAGGCCATGCACGTTTTTCACAAGGGTTACGCTCAGCTAGGAAAACGGCGGTGTGCTTTTTGCCTGAGTGTTGTGCAGTCCTAAAGCTTCTCTTTAATTCATCTGGTGCAGTTTTTCACGTGTCCAATATATCTGTTGTGCGTGGGGCTGCCGGTGCAGAATGGCCGCTGTGTGTCTCCCAGGTGGTATATTTTTATATAGCGCCTTTCACAACAAGGTTGCACCAAGGCGCTTTACAAAGCAAGTGACCTTATGTGTTGCGAACACAGAACAGAAAAGACCAGAAACCAAAAACTCCTCAGTAAGGAGAAAAAAACTGTCTGCCCAATATTCTACAGTTAAAAAAAGGGAATAAATGAATTAGGGGACAGTCTAGCACGGAGTCCGAACTTTCTGCTATTTTTAAACGGTTTTCCTTCTTAAAGCTCTGGCTTCACAAAGATCAGTCCTTTGCGAAGGAGGGACTTGTTCCGAATACTATCGCCCCGTACACGAGTGCGAGAAGGAGAAAGGTTACTTCGGACAGATCGGCGGTCAATATTGCAAGACAGCCGTGCAGCGATCCTCTTGTATATCGTGGTAAAAACAATAGTTTGCGACGAGATGTTTCTGTAGTTTACCAGAGCTCGGTTCCATGTCCAAGATGAGCATTGTGGCACTATTGCGCTCATAATGTTCCAGGGATTTATGCGACGTAAGTTCCTGGATCTTAAATCGCTGTTGCAAAAGCCCTCGTTCGAATTCGCTTCCTAATACATCACTAGACGACTGTTCTAACGTTATTCAGGCAGTGGGATAGCGCTGCATGGACGTGGGAGAAACCTTGCTTGCTGTGTGCGGAGCTGCTCCGCTTGAGATCTTCCCGTGTAGGTACACGAGGGTTCCTTTAAATAAGAAACTTCCTGGTGCAGAAGCTCGTTTCACTTTTCATTTCAGAATACAGACGGTGCTCCTGGTGGTCGGACAGACTCCTTTATGAAGGTGCAGGACAGCGGAGGTACAAGTTTCCGGACTGACATTGGCGCTATGATTTAAGAAGGAGGGAAAGAAAGTAAACTGAACTTGTGTCTTAAACAATACCGTTTGTTAACTCGGGGAAATGTCGTGACTCTGGTGGTTGTTTACTGGGTAACGCAGGAAAAAAAGACTCCCGGAAAAAAAAAAAACGCTAGGTAGTTCCCGTGCTGTTTTAGCGGGTGATTTCGACAAAGTAGGATTAAAAAATAAATGTCAATACTGTGTCATTCCTCCACCGAAACCTTGCGGAAGCGCCTGGCAGCTGATGAAGAATTTGGTCATTTGCTTTTCGAAACTGTGGTTTCGAAATGATTCCTTCATCTCTCTTCTTGCTGAATGGGAGTTTTATTATTGATAATTATTTCCTTATTGATATTGTATATTTGCCTCTACTGTGCTATGGGGGGGACAGGTAACAGTGCGCTTAATAATCTCTCCAACCGCTGTGTTCTAAACCTCCAGTTTGCAGGAACTGCCCAAAATAGCCGTTTCTCACAACTTGTTTCATTTCCTCCGGTTGTTGGTTAAGTCACGACCACAGTAACGGAGGACAATCCGTTCTTGGCTTAATAAATGCAACCTCTCGCTTTGGGGAGAAGTACAGTGTTGCGTTATTGTGCGATAGTTTATATCACGCCCAAGTGTTCCGCGTGCCTCTCCGCGTCGGCACGGGCCGGGTCAGAGGTAAGCCTCGAGACGGCGCGTCTCTGTGCCGAGTCTCCGGCTGCACTCCGAGACCCTCCGAATATATATCGCTTTGGAGTTTCCTTTGTTGTTTTACAAACGGGTGTTCCCCCTGTGAAGTTAAAGGTTTACACGAGCCCTGGGTTGCTCACAGATGCTGTGCATTGAAATGAGTGTTATTTACTTTTCAACTTTAATTCTTGAGGTGTGTTGATGTTTTATTTACTAAGAGTAACTCGCGATGGATGATAAATTATTGACGCCTAGATGACGCGTGACATGCACATGCTTGTTAATTATGTAACACTTTTATTTATCATGGCACTATTTTTAGGTATTGCCCTTTAAAGTGTAAGTTGCTGCGCGGTTATGTTTTTAAAATTGAGGAAATTTCAGACTTCCAGACGTGACTTTGTGTTGTTTTCTTAATTTGGACTTTTTCGGTTTAGAGGAGCTGTTAATTGAAAACAATGGCCACTCCTGCTGCTTTCAGTCCCGAGACCCTGCAAGAAGGTAAGCGTGTTCTGTGCTCAGCTTGCCGTCACCCTTCTGTCCCACCGGATGTCCAGTAACGGTGGCGTATGATTGGCTGAACGCCGCCGGGATACAAGGCTGTGATTGGTCCCCCCAGGGGAGGGGGGGGGGGGATCTCCCTGTGAGAGGAAGTGATGTCAGTGAGAGACGCGTTGCTCCTCCAGTCCCTGCTCACCCTCCTCTCAATCACTTGCACAACTTCAGGGGGAGGTGTGAGTCCACAAGTCTGCTCCCCCCACCCCGAGAGAATAGAGGATTGTTTGTGGAGCGGCTGAGGCTAATAAAACAAGTAGCTTGACCCCCATGAGCAGGTGTTCAGTAAGAATAAAAAAGGCGTTTTTAAAAACGCCTTTCTGCCACAGCCCAGGCCCAAGGGCGGGGGGCCGACACTGACGCCCCTGCTCTCCTCTCCCTGCAGCGGAGGAGCTGGCCGCCAGCCTGGGCACAGCCGTCGGCCTCGGGGACCGGGAGGGGGCGTGTCGCTGCGTGGAGCAGCTGGCGGACCTGCGGGTCCCCCTGAGCGTCAGGGTCACCCCGGACGTGTACCCTAAGGAAGAAATCAGGTGAGTCCGCACAGGCGGGGAGGTGGGGTAGCCGTGAACCCCCAAGTTCACAGGCTCCCCTTGCCAGGGGGGTATCAGATGGAGTGACAGGCCAGTGGGTCCAGCATCAAGAACAGGAGACACGTTTCGCACAAAGAGTGGTGGGTGTCCGGAACAAGTTGCCAGGCCTGTTCCCTGGGAACCTTTAACTCTCCAACACCCACAGTCTGTAGTCCTGTTGAGGGGGCAATCCGGATTGTTAAAGGTGTTAATCCTTACAAGGCAGTTGAAAGAGCAGACCCTCACGACTACACAACTGTGCTAGTCCTCAAGAAACATCGCCTGCTTGAGGCGCCTGTGTTTAGATCGCATCGCCGACATTGCTGCCGAAGTTTTCCAGAAGGGATGATCTCAGAATTCAGGTTGTATACAGATTGTTGCTCCATTTACATCACATTCCCATGTCAACCACCTGTTAGGAATGACTGAACGTTCCTGTGCACCATGTTGGGTATATGCTGTACAGTGGAGCATGCAGAGACGGTGGATTTCTTTAGGAGTGAGCGTGCTGTTGGCTCACTGCAGTGCCCATGCCTGATGAGTCAGCAGCAGGAGATGTGGAGACATTATTTCCTCTTTTCCCCCGTGTAGTGTCAGCTGACTGATATCATGGAAGTATCTGTCGCGTGCTTGTTGCCATCTGACTGTGCCTCTGTCCCGTAGACTAAAGGTGGGAGTGGAAGATGCCCAGGCGGACGCCTCCATTCCTGTGGCCATCGTGGTGACCTCTGACATGACCATCACTGAGCTGAAAGACAAGGTATGACATGAGCCCTGCTGACTCCGTGCTCCTCTCATCGCCTTCCTGGATGAGCTCAGTCAGGCAAAGAAAGGGAAGAAGATTCAGACATCTTGTGTTTGGGGGTGGTGTGGTGCTGTAGTGCTGGGGCCCTGGGTTCGGTTCCGGACCCGGGGTGCTGTCTGTGTGGAGTTTGCACGTTTCCTCCCACAGCCCACAGACACGCTGGCAGGTTGATTGGCTTCTGGGAAGATGGGCCCTTGTGTGAGTGTGTGTGCCTGGAGATGGGCCAGAGTCCAAAACATGGTGTATCCAATGGATGGATATTTTACAGATGAGGCTGTTTAAATGCTCAGAACGGTGGACCTGATCCATATTTTGATTATTGCCCTTAAAGCATGTCTGTGGTTACAAGGTTATAGTGTCACTTGAGGGGTTAAAGTTGTGTGAGCTCAGGCTGCGCCTCGCCTTGCCTCTTGATCATCGGAGCTGTGGAGGGGTGACTCTCTCTGCCCCCGCCCCGCAGGTGAACCGAGACTACGGCTTCCACCCCTCCCTGCAGACCTGGGTGATCGGGAAGCGCCTGGCCCAGGGTCCCGAGACGCTCTTCAGCCTCGGCGTGAGGAAAGACGGAGACGCCGCCTTCCTGTACATCCGATCGGCCCAGCAGGCTCAGCTCACCCGGGAGCAGGAGCAGTACGACCAGGAGCAGCAGCGCCTGGGCGGTGAGCGACCCCGACCCCCTGACCTCTGACCCCTGACCCCTGACCTCTCCAGAACAGCAGAACACCCCACGGGTACTTCACAAACACTAAAGGATTCTTTGAGCTACAACTACTGTTCAATTAACACTGGCAGAACGATGTAGAGAATCTGTTTCACCCACGGGTTTCACTATGACATTGTAGGATGTCAGACACTAATGTTTTAAAAACTGGGGAAGCTTTAGAGAAAGATTGGCCTTATTTTTGCTCCTCTTTGAATGAGAAGTCGTTCGTTATTGAGGGTTATTTTGTT